TAGCAGAGGGGTTGACAAATTCAAAAATTGCATACTCTTTTTTAAAAAATTAATACTTTAATTTCAATAACTAATATTTTTCTTTAATAGTATTTTAATTTTTTTCTAATTACATATAATGACAAATTTTAACATTTATTTTAAAATTCTGAGTTCCAAATTTTCTCCCTCTGTCCCCCACCTTCCCCTTTTCTAGGATGATAAGCAATTTGATATAGGTTATATATGTGCAAAATCATGAAAAGCATATTAACATGTTATTCACATTATAAAAGAAGAAACAGACCAAAAGAAAAAAACTACCAAAAAAAAATAAAGTAAAAATAATATGCTTCAATCTGCATTCAGATTCCATCAGTTCTTTCTCTGGAGGTGAATAGCAATTTTCCTCATGAGACCTTTGGAATTGTCTTGGATCATTCTATTGCTAGGAATAGCTGTCACTCATACATAGTTGATTGGTATACAATGTTGCTATTACTGTATACAATGTTCTCCTGGTTCTGCTAACTTCATTGTGCATCAGTCCATGTAAGTCTTTCAACTGCATAATTTTTCAAAAACATGCCTCAAACTAATCCTAGGCCTTCTCCTCTCTGCCTATGAAAGAACCTAGTGACCAAAGCAGGACTTTATAAGCCAGGAAAGAGGGCCACAGCTTCTACTAGATCCTTAGAAAAACAGCCTGTTGGTTGATTTCCTTTTCCACTAAGCCCATTATTTTTCAGGCAAGTGTTTAATTTACCTTTTGGGATTAAGGATCAAAGAAGACAGTTATAATGGTGATAGGGAGAGCATCAGGGAAAATGTTCTTTACATTGAAATGACTGAAAGGAAGTTGATCTCCCAAGATAAGGTGATTCAAGAAAACGCCTAGCTGCTCTAGGAATTAAGCTACTTTGCCCAGGATGAACTATCTGAAAGAAGCAGCAGAGGTGATAACTGAGTCATCGTAAATAGGTCTTTCAAAGATCATAGAAAACAGGTATGGAGATAGGCAAACGTTGTCCCAATTTCCAAAAGAGGGATGAGACCAGAGATTGCAGACTGTGAACCAATGTGTTACACTTCAATTTCTCACAAGATTCTGGGTCATTTTTTTTAATTAAAGTCTAGAAAAGGAAGCAATGATCACAAGTCAGCATGGATTCATCAAGAACTGCTGCAATGGGATTAACCTTATTTCCTTTTCTGACTAAGTTACTAAACTGGTAGATCAAGGGAATGCTGAGGATATCACTTACTTTCAGCAAAACATTTTATAAACGCTTCTGCTATTCTAATGAAAAAGATGGAGAAATGTGGAATAAATGTTAATATAAGTAGGTGGATTTGGAGATAATAACAATAGATAGCATTTATGTAGCATCTACTATGTACCACTTTACAGATATCTTCTCATTTTGATCTAAATGACTGAATGACTGAAACAATAACAACTTGGAAAGAGGTATTCGGTGGATTATCCAAGGGATTTATGCTTCACCCTATGCTGTTTAACATTTTTATCAAAGACTTGCATCAAGGGGCAGCTAGGTGGTGCAGTGGATAGAGTACCAGCCCTGGAATCAGGAGGACCTGAGTTCAAATCCAGTCTCACACCAGAGACTTGACATTTACTAGCTGGGTGACCCTGGGCAAGTCACTTAACTCCAAATGCCTCGCCAAAAAAAGACTTGCATCAAGACATAGGTGGCATGCTTATCAAATTTACCAATGACACAAAGCTAGGAGGGATGATATAAACATTATATTTGATGACAGAGTCAGGATTCAAAAAGATCTGGACAGGCTAGAACTTTGAGCCAAATATAAAAAGATGAAATTTAATATCATCAATGTAAAGTCTTACATTCTGGTTCAAATCACCTTATCAAGTCCAAAAATAGGGGAAGCATGGCTAGACAACAGCTAGCTATGAAAAAGATCCATGGGTTTAGCATCTGCAAGCTCCATGTGAATCAACAATGGGATATAGCCACCAAGCAAGCTAATGCAAGCTTGGGCTGAATTGAAAGGTATAGAGTCTAGGACTAAGGCAGTTAGACATCATTGCTCTCAGGGCTAATGAAACCTTGTCTTAAATATAGGTTGGATTTGATGGCCTCTGCAGAATTCTGTGAGCAGTTAGGTAGCAAAGTGGACAGAGTATCAGGAAGACTCATCTTCCTGAGTTCAAACCCAGCCTCAGATAGTTACTAGCTGTGTGACCCTGAGCAAGTCACTTAACCCTGTTTACCTCAATCCCCTCATCTGTAAAATGAGCTGGAGAAGGAAATGGCAAATCACTCCAGTATCTTTGCCAAGAAAGAGTCAGACATAACTGACATGTCTGAATAACAACAACTGAAGCAGAATTCTGAGATGGAGAGGTGAGGAGAGAAAAGAGGAGAATGGTACCTTTTAATTTTCCAAAGCTTGTTTGCGTATTTTTGATGCCTTCTAAACTAGCCTGGTAGGAGACTAAAAGCCACAGGATGATAGATCTAGGGCTCCAAAGGACTTTGAGACCATCAAGTCCAACTCCTTCATTTTATACCTGAGAAAACTGAAATCCAGAAAGGTTCAATACCCTGCCCAGTGTTACACAGGTATTAAGCAGCAGAGCAGGGGTTCAAAACCTGATCCAAATCTAGCATTTTTTCTTTTTCAAAAGTCCTGTATCAAAGGTCCAGTATCAAAAGTCCTGAGTTTTAGTCCCAATTCAGGCTCAGGCTCCCACTTACTAACCTATGTGACACTGAGTAACTAGACGTCTCTGAGATCAAGTGTCTTCACTGGGGGGAGGGACTCTAAATACCAACCCTTTCTGATTGTAGAGGTGTTCTAGGCATTAAAACTGTAATGGGAATTTTTTATTTTTGCCTTTTATTATTTGGGACTCAGGGCTACTCCCCCTGCAAATTTTGATAAACTAAAAGTCTGTCTTCTGTTAATATTAACCTAAAATGACCAAAATCTGACTCATGAAATAAGGGATGACTGTTACATTCCTCAGACAGAAGTAAAAGGGGAACCAAAGTGATTTTAGTTATTTGTTAGCTCCCCTACATAACTGCTGAAGGAAGGATTTCCCTGATGCTAAGACTTCTTGGTTATCTCTGTGACACATAAATCTTCCTCCTCAATTAGCCTATTTGTAAACCCTCTAAATGCAGTTTAATCTATAACATGACTTAGTTTACCTTATAGAGTTTATTTTATAAAGTATGTTTCCTTAGGGGATGTATGAGGTTATGACTCTTTAAATTTGTTCAACTTTTGCAACATTGAAGGAAGTATTGTAATTATGGATCTCTCTTTAATTTTTATGACCTAAGAGAAATGTACAAGGTTTCAATATGTAAAACAATTATTTCTGTCACTTTAACACAATTTTGCCCCTAAGAAGCATTGTTAGAACCTTAAGGATGGTTCAGATTTTCTCTAAGTCCTGAACCTATGCTTGAGCATGATAATAAAACCTAGGTTTTTACCTACATTATGGCAAATATATTTTGGCAGCAGTTACCCACCTTAGGAACCCAGAGAGGAGATATTTCTCCAACAATAAATTGATAGAATGTTAGAGTTTAGAAGGGACTTTAGAGATGAGAAGATTTTGAGCTCAGAGGGATATTAGAAATCATCATCCTCCACCCCCACCCCCGTTTAGCAAATAAGGAACCAGAAGCCCAGAGAGGTTTTACTGAACTTAGTAAAGATTTATCAAATACCTATCATTATTATCATCAAATATTGTGTACAAGACTCATCATTAGACTCTGTGGATACAAAAATAATCTATGACTCCAGCAATGTACTTTCCTAAAGGAGAGAAGCATTGCACATAGATGTATACAAAGTAAATAAAAAGTAATTTGGAGGTGTTGGAGAATGCTAACAACTGGGTTGAGGATGGGAAAGGCCTCCAGCTGAGGTAGGACTTAATCGGAACCTTGAAGGGAGCTAGTGAAATTTAAAAAAAAAACAACTTTTAAATATTAAAAACTGGAGAGGTGGAAGGAGAACTTTTCAAGCCTAGGGACCAGGCTGTTCAAAGGCAAAGAGATGCAATGGAAATACCAAAAAGGCCAGGTTTTGACTGGAATATATTGTAAAGGGGAATTATGGGTTAAGTGACCTACCCAGAGTATCACAGGTAACTAGAAAAGAGGAATTTGAGCCAGGTATTTTGACTCCAAATCCAATGCTCTTTCCATAATCTGGCCCAGCCCTTTCACTTTACAGATTAGGAAAATGAGACTGGAAGGAAAGGCGAAATGATTTGCCCAAGAATATTCGGCAAATTAGCTGCAGAACTGCTACTAGATTTCCCAGGCCTCCTGACTGCTTCTAGAGGTCAGGGGACGCTGCACATCAAAGCTACCCAAACGTCAGGGGTTGCTGCTCTGATTATTTTCATATATAAATAAACACACACACGTACATATATGCATATATATGTATATCTGTGTGTTATATGTATATGTGTATATATACATATTATACACACGCACACGCATAATTGTGGCTTTCATGTTGTCTCTAACATTCGATTGGGAGCTGCCCAGGGCAGGGACTTTTTCTTTAATTTGTGCCCCCAGTGCTTAGCACAGTACCTGGCATGTAGTAGACGTTTAATAAATGCTTACTGAGTGACTGACCTTTGCTTCTACTCACTCCATTTCTCTATCATGAGTGACCACTTGGAGCAAAGAGGCTGCTCAACAATGTAGTTTATCGAAGTTAAATAGATCACAAAATGTTCTTTACGATGGATTCACTGCCCAGTACCAGGAGCCCAGCAACAGGGCTCAGCACGTAGCTGGGAGAAGGGCAGAGGTTTTCCAAGGTTTATGTTGGAAACTTTTGGAGGGGATGGGGGAAGAGGCACAGCGTCTATTCCGGTAGTCGCTACAGCAACTCCAAACTGCTAGAAACCGTAGGCTGAAGGAGGGAGGGTGGTGCTTAATTAACCCCCTCCGCTCCGCAAGCAGGAACTCGTGTTGTTTAAGGCAGTCTGCCCGGGCCGCCTGTCTCCCCGCACGCTCCTTCTAGGTTCCAGTGCCCACCCCCACCTTGCCCAAGCTAGGCTCGCACCCCAGCCTCGGGGAGATGCCCAGAGCCCGTCCCTCGGTCCTTTCGGCCCCCCGGATTCCCGAGCCCGGGCAGTGCCTCCTTAAGCAGCGTCTACGAGGCTGAAAGTTGAGGCGGGGGTTTTGTTCTTATAAGGAGGGAAAAAAAGTTTCTCTGACATCCAGGAAATGAGCAACCCCCGAAGCCCATTAAGGCCCTGCTGATGGAGGCCACAAGATCGGAGGCAGCAGCGCCATCGCCGGCCCCTGGGAGCTCATTAGGTGGAGAAACACAGGTCAGCAGTTAAAGCGCTGTCACACCTAAGTTTCCAACTCGCTGAAAAACTTTTTGAAAACCCACCCGCCCTCCTCTGGGTCGGGGGAAAGTAGCGGGACAGCGAGCCAGTTTGGCAGACGTCAGGGTCGACTGCTTGCAGGTAAGTCCTGGGACCGTTGCCTTGTGTTTCTTTTTGTAGCTCTAGATCTGACCACACTTCTCGGAGAAATACTCTTGGTGGGTGCCAGGAGATATAGAATGGGGGGAAGGGAGATTTAAGTTATTTTATAGTTATTCTGTTTTAGTGTTGGAAGGGACCTTAGAGACTGTAGAGTCTGATTCCGTCATTTTACACTCCAAGAAACTGAGGCTCATAGCAAAGAATTGACTTGCTCTTGATCACATAACAAGTTGGTGGCAGAGACAGTACTAGAACCAGAGCTCCTGGCTCTAAGTCTAGGGCTCTAAACTGCCCTCCAGATCTCTTACTGGTTTTTTATTGACTTTAAGGCACCCTATGATAGGATTAAGTAGAGAACGGGGCTGGGTAAACTGGACAACAGATATAGTGGATATACTTGTTTTGTTTCTTCCTCCTTTCTGCCATGCCCAGAAAGGATGCAGTTAAACTATCAAATCTGCTTTCCTTTTCCCAATCTGACTAGGCAAGGATAGAATCCTTCTGTATCTCCTGTTATTGATATATTTTGAGGCAAAACTAAGTTGAAGTGAAAACCCCATCTTCAGCCCCCTTCTCCAGTTCTGTCATTTGATCTGAATGACAGGGTCTAAGGCTAAGCTGGTAAGTGGGCTTATCAGTTTTCAAAGTGTGGTCCAGGGACTCCTGGGAGTCCCCAGACTCTTTCAAAGGATCCAAAAAGTCAAAACTATTTTTATACTGAGATGTTTCAATTTCTAACACAACTATCAGTAGATAAAACCCATATCAACAAAAGCTCTTTGGGGAGTTCTCAATATTTTTTTAAGAGTGCAGAGGGGTCCAAAGACCAAAAAGTTTGAGAACTGATGATCTAGGCCATGTACATTTGTATCAGAGGAAGGAGGAGTCTGAGGTATAGAGGATTAAGTGATTTGTCCAAGATTGCATAGCTGGTTAGTGGAAAAGCCAATCTAGAACCTAGGTCTTCCACTTTCTACCATTTTGTTCTTTTTCCTTCACTTCTTTCTGATAAGGCAAAAGAAGGATTTCCTGGACCCCTGAAATCTCAGTGGGAAAGACAGCTTTCCCTTCTTCAGGTGAAAGTTGCAGTCAGTGCTTTATGTTTGTGGAGGTAGTGAAGCAATGAGGTCTCCACCATGACCGGGTGATGTTCCCACAGCTTCCTCTTTCTGAAGCTGTAATGAGGACCCACATGCTGTGTGCAGATTTTTCCACTGACCAAACCTTCCTCTTCTCCTAGCATCCTTTGCCTTTCTCCACCCTCAGTACACAGAGCTATATACCCTTTTCTTGAATTTCAATTGAATATTCAAGAAAAAGGGGAATCTCTAAAAGAAACAAGGAGGAGTTCCCACAGTGGCATGACCCATCTCTTTCAGATGTAGAAAGCAGAGTGGTGGTTGGTACAGTGGGAAAATCCTTGGCTTAGAGGATCTGAGTTCCAATTCTATCTCTGATGCTCACTATTTATATGACTGGGCAACGTGGCCTCCTTGAGCTGTAATTTCCTCATTTGTAAAATGAGGAGAGGTTGGGCTAGATGGCCTCTGTAATGCCTTCCAGCTTTAGAGCTATGATCCTAAAGAGAAAGCTTTTTCCCCTTTTCTGATTTGGTTTCAGGGTGCCAAACTGCTCTGAGGTGGTCCTGAGGTTAGAGAGTACCTCAAACTCAGTTCTGCATTTAGATCTAAAACTACACCTAATTCTGCTGTTCATCTTCCTCTTTGTGATTTTACTTGGTGTTTTTCCTCCAGCTCACTTCTCAAGCAAATGCAAGTGGGCTCTGACCCTCAAAGGCAGCCCTCTTGCTGCCTTTTTCCTGAGAGAAGGCAGGCTTTGGGGAGGGGAGGGGTGTTCTACCTCCAGGGATTGCTCCATAGACTCCAGCCAGAATGTAGATCACGCGCACCCGCTCAGTAATAACATAATGACCTGGTTAGTTTATATATCTCCTTCCTTCCATCTGTACAACCATGAGTACTTCTTTTATATCTCATTGCTTACTAATTCTCTGTGTGTGTGACTGCTCCAGGCAATGCTAGGCTCATGTTTTCCATGTGCATAGTATGACTGTCATCTTTCTTGAGCCTCTTACTGAGTAGGTAGAAAGGGGATTTTTCTTTTGTGTGTCAGCTTACAATTTGATCAATTTCAGAGGGATAGTCATATCTAGCTTTTAGTTTTTATATGTTAAAAGCTCCAAACTTTTGACTTCTTCCCCATACCCCGAATGCTTTTTTCTTCTCAAAGCATTGTTTTTTGAAATAAAGAACATCTGGGGTATGTGTGTGGTTATTTTTGTTTCGGTACTCACATCAAAGTGTGGGAAAGAAGAGGAAACCTCTGGGCTAAGATAGCTTTCAGTGATCCTGCTGGTTTGGGGGTTTCATATAGGAATATGGTCTTTTGGTTCTAGCTCAAAAATTGAGGGATGGAAAAGGAACTAGGGAGAGAAGGCTCTGAGAGGACATTGTTTTAGCTGGAGGTTGTGGCAAGTACATCTCTCCTGCAGGGTGAATTTAAAGAGAAGGGTTGAACTGGCAGAAAAGCCATCTTAGTTAGATCCATCTGGAGTATTGTACCTACTTCTGGCCACAGCACTTTAGGAGGGTCATTGACAAAATTGTCTGAAAAAGAGAATCACCATGGTGAAGGGACTTGAAACAATGTCACATGAGAAACAGTTGAAAGAACTGGGGATGGTTACTCTGGATAAGAAGACTTGGGAGGTTTGTTGGGTAGGGGAGACATAGTTATTGTCTTCTCATATTGGAAGACTGATTACAGAAGAAGGATTATTTTGTTCCATGTGGCTCTGGGGCTGGAGAATTAGGATCAGTGAGTGGAAATTTAATTTTGAGTCAGTGGAAGAAATAACTTTTTTCTAATAACAAACTGTCTTAATTAGCTACTTGACCATAAATTGGTCACTTCTTTGTGCCTTAGTTTCATCATTTGTCAAACCAATGGAGGAAGGATTGTACTAGATATGCAGTTCTTAACTTGGAGTTCACGGGTAGATTTTAGAGGGTCTCTGAATTTGGATGGGAAAAAAAATCACACCTTTATTTTCCACTGACTTCTAACTAAAAGTAAGCATTTCCTTCAGTTAAGAATATAGGCAACACAAACATTATTTAGAGAAGGTGTCATAGGCTTCCCCATACTGCCAAAGGGATCCATGACAAAAAAGGTTAAGAACCACCCTACAAGATACTCAATGGAACCTTCTAGGAAAAAGTTATATTCCTTTGTCCAACAGTGAAACAGGTTGTCTAGGGGAAATAATCTAGGGGAGACTGGGTGATCTGTCAGACAGATATATTGCAGAAGGGAATTCTACATTAGGCAAGAGTTTAGACAAGGTAACTAGATCCCTTCCAACAGTAAGATTCTGTGATTCTAATTTCGTGTCTGGTTCTCACCCCCACTCCCCCTCCATGGGAAAAGTGTGGTAGTATTGCTTGGGATTCTACAAAGAGAGTTTGTGGAGTCAAGGAAGGATGGTGGGGAGGGTTGAGGTAGAAATGCCTGACCATTGGTACTTCCTCAAATTGGGCTCATTTTCTCCCTGAATCCAACACTGCCTTATGGAAGGCCTCTCAGGTTTTCTGAGGAAGGGTGGTCTAGCCAGCATACCAAGCAGCTCACTGACTTCTCGCAGGCAGGGCTGCTGAAAAGTTGATCTTGGCTAGGAAAACAGGAAAGAAAGGCAAAAGGAAAGATAGTTTCCTTTAATAATAAAAGAAGAGAGCCCAGTTAGTGAAAGTTAGCTGGTCTAACATCAGAAGTGAGAGCAAGTCCCAGAGAAGCAAAGAGCCCTTGGTGATAGAGAGCCCCTGACAAATACCCAGTGACTCCCTTTCCTAATTACTGGGTGGCAAGAGGTAGCAAATCCAGTTTGGGGACTGAAATGGGTCAAGGTAATGACTAAGCACTACCCGGGTGTGTCTAAAAGAAATGTGCTGCTTTCTGCAGGGTGCCTGGCCCGCAGCTGCCAGTGGGGAAAGGGTGGAGGGAAGAAGGGAGCTGGCCAAGAATCCTTTAAACTACCCTTTCTCCCAAAGTGGAAGGGGAATGATGGTGAAGAGCTGAAGACATAAAGTCCAGAACGGCCCTTGAAGGGGACAAATAAGTGAGCAGGTCTAGCTAAAACTGGGACATCTAATAACATCTAATGATGAGCTCCTCTCTGTGACAGAGGCAGCCCTGTAGTTGATAGGGTATTGGACTCGGCTTTTAAAAGACCTTTTAGATCCTGCTTTACTTACTAGGTGTGTGACCTGGGCAAGTCCCTTAATCTCTCTGTGAAATGAGGATGTATCCACTTCATAGAGTTGTTCCGAGCATCAGATGAGATTATGTGTCTAGTACTTTGTCATCCTTAAAATGTTATGTAGAATATTCGATGTTATCAAAACTATTATCTGCCTTTAGGTAAAGTAAGGGATCACCTATTTAGGAAAAGAGGAATGGCTTACCTGCTTTGCAGAAACCTAAAATCATTCTGACAAGGGACATGGCTTTTTATTCCAATGTGAGAGAGAAGCTTTGGGAGTGGCAGCTGTGGTGTGCTTTTCAACACACAGGGTTTGGAATCAACAGACTGTTTTTGTGTGGCCTAGGAAAAGTCATTTAATCTCCAAAATCTTATAAAAGTGAATGTTGAAAACTATCTTTACATGTAATTAGAAAAAAAAATAAAGTACTATTAAATGGGGGAAAAAAATTTTTAAATTAAAGTTTAAAAAAAGGTCAATTAATCTCTCTGGGCCTTATTTTCCTAAACTTTAAAATGAGGCAGTTGGGCTATATGACCTCTGATATCTGCGCCACCGCCAACCCCCTCGTCAGCTCTTTGTCCTATGAATGCACATCCTCCTAGGAAAGAAAGAATATAGTGATTTTATTTCAATTATATTCAGGTATAAGGCACTTATACCAAATCCTTCAAGAAGAGCAAGTCTGGAGAAATCAGG